TCTTCCCATGGTCGTGCACATTTCCATGCCGTCCTTTTCCAAAGGACGAGCAATCCGTGGGCTATGAATTGGGATGAGTGTTCATTCTGTTTCCTTCCATTGCGAGATTCTGCTAGTGCTGAACCTAGTTCGCCAAGGAACGTCACTCGCTGTCACCACCTGAGCGACGCGACTGTATCTCTTCCTGTCCGGCCGGCGGGGTGGCTGCTTTGTCACTCACTGCTTGTGCTGTTTCACACACTCGGCGCTGGATTCTCCCAGGGGGGGGGGGGGGGGCTCGCCTCGTGCCGTACCGGACCGTCGGAGCAGGACCGCGTGCCCGGCCGGCCCGCGGCGCCGGGTCGGGGCGTGAAGAGAGGCTCGCAGCTGCGGCCGACCGGGAAATCCAACGACGGGGTGGCGCGCGCCAGGCGTGTAAGACGGCAGCCGTTACCACTGGGCCGTCGTACTTGGAAGCGTTTACGCCCCTTGAGTAATCTGGGCAATGGGATTTTGTTACGTCACTTTGGGGAGATCGCTCTCTGTGACATCGGGATGACTGTTTATGTGTTTTCGGAGGCTGGCTGGGACCGATATTGGTGGGCATGGTGTCGGTTACATGGCCATCCTGAGACAGGAAGACCCATAGCTGTTTTGAATCTGTGCCATTATCAGGAAGGTTTTACTCTTTTTCAGATCCAGGTCATTACCTTACATGTGTCTGGGTTCATAATAAACATTCAACAAAGGCCTGAGCTCAGGATGAGCCTGCGAAACATAAAAAACACTGTTCGCGCACTTTGTTCGGAAGCGTATCTATAACTATCTTATTTTTGTGCAGACATGTTTGTCTCAACAACAGGTTAGCTCGAACACCAGGCCAACTCACCAAAACTCATTTTGTACTCGTTTTAGCCGCAACATTTTGGCCGCATTTAGTATTTTGCCTATTGTATTCACCGTGTCTGCCCTCAGCCCTAAGCGCTGTGTGGTAAATCTTCTGTCGACGCGCTGACGGAGCGGAGATGCTCATTTGATTTGCATTGAACATTGTACGAAGGAATAAAGTGAATGCATCTTGCACTAATCTTCATTCACCTTTCCTATCCTATGTGCAATATGTAGCAAGAATGTAAAGCGGAAATTACATTTGTACGTCCAGTATTAGCGATGCAAATTGGGATGGCGCCCGACGTCGGAGCCGAGCGGCGGCCGCCATCTGCGTGACCGGCGAAGCACGTGCGGAGGGCACGCTGCTGCTACGTTACAAAACCCTTGCACGATTCAAACTTGGTATGCAAAAACATATCTTGCGATCTTGTTCAGGTAGCTTCACGTGACCTTTTCCGCGGGATCTATCTTTGTTAGGTTGGAAATTGTACGGGGTCGCATTGCAGTCCCCTACTTCCACTTGCGTAATCAAAAGAGACAACCCGGGTTATGGATTAGCAGCACATCGAAGCCGTCAGCATATAGAAACGCCCAGTATAGCAAAACGGTTGATCTGGGCTGATGATTAATTGTACTAGGACATGAGCCTATGACGAAAGAAGTTGGCGCTTTTTACCACCCCTGAATGACACCAATGATTGTTAGGTCCCGAAAGGTGCTTGCTGGTTACTGATTCATGTCGCCGCTCGTACATGCGCAAAATGGCTATTGTATTCAATGCATCCCAAATTACCACATCAGCCATAACAAAATTGCCGCTCGTTTTTGGTGCCACAACATCCCAGCGATTTGTACGCCGTCTAGATCTTACCCCGTGGCTCCACGTTAGTGTTCCAGTATCTATACGCCGAGGCTGAAGGATGAAATTAATCGACATTCAACGCTTGTCCGTCGCCAAATGGGATTGATCTCTGGCCACTGAGGCCTCTGATCACGGGCGCTCAGCTGACCGCGCCACCCCTCGGCCCGCGTACCCGTACCGAGGGGTGTAGTGAGTCAGCGGGCGGCTGCGGTGGCGCCATCTGCTCCGCGCCGTGCGCGTGGGAGGAGCCGCCCGCCGCTCTCCGCTCGGCAGCCGGACAGAGGCGTCGCTCCCGTCAGTGCTGCGTCAGAGGGGAAGGCCGGTCAAGGGCGAGAACCGACCGCGGACCGGAAGTGGAAGCCCCGTGTCCGGCGAGTCGAAGCCGTCAGTGAATCCTCGCGTCGTATCCTAGGTGCGCGGCTGGTAATTCCTGAGGCCAAATCAGACTTTTCGTAAAATATGCAGCTGGCTTTGTTAAGCGCGGATTCCTTCTCTTAAGTGAACTCATTTACACTGAACATGGAGCGAACAGACCGAAATGACCAGAGCGAACAACTTAAAGGCAGCTAAACAAACAAAAGCGGCGCGCTCACTGTGGCCTTATGTAGAAATCCGTAGGTGCATCATCCGCTTTGAATCATGCTGAAACACAATGTTTGTGGCATTCTGATCCATCGGAATGAGCCTGTAACGTCGAAGTACTGTCAAGGCTCCATCTCTTTTGACTCTATCCGGGCGGCGTTGTCCTACTTACCTCGTCAGCAGCATACGAGACGACGGGAATTAGAACTAACACGGACCATAAAGTCTGTAATCGACACCAGACCCCACCCCTTATTTACGTGGAGGCCTTCGCCATTTGAAATTACGGTGGTGGGCGTATTTTGCCCTTTTGTGGACAGATGTTGCGGGTTGTCGCCGCGGGTCAGCGTGGCGACTTTTACATCCGCGCTGGTTTGGTCGGGTTGAATCAGCGACAACCTTTCGGTATTCATGTTGTGTTTGCTGCATACTGGAAGCATCCGCCGGTGGTGCGGTGGTGACTCAGTCCCCCACGTGCACGGCCTTCGGAAACTGGTCTGACCACTGGGCCAGAGGCCTGTGAGGTCTTGGCGGCCTTTATCAGCTCTGTCGTGCAGGGGGAGCTCAGGGGAAGGGTTTATTACCAAGCTGCTGACGACGTTGTCACGGTACGAAGACATTAAGAGAATGCATATCCTGCTGAGGTGAGACCCGTAGGAATGCGCACACGTGCGACTGGCTGAAATGCTGCATTAATCAAAACTGGCATTGCCGTAATGTGTGGTGTCCCTGAGTATCTAGCGTGGTTAGCCACATGCGGTTTTCATGGATATGCAAACAGCACTCAACGGACAACGATTTGGCTATTACTATTTATTACTTAGAAGTGAAGTAATAACATTTGCATCGGTGAGAATGCTTTATATTTCTAACGTCTTGCTTGCAGGGCATTGATCGGTTTAGGCGGATGACCAGTGCGGATTGGTGTGAGATAAATCTGCTTGCGTGAAGCAGTGCGTGCTATAATATACGGCGAAATATTCGTTGAACATTAAATACTGCAATACGACATCAGTCGTCACTATCTTTTTGCAATTTTGCCTTCTGGTGGAGAGATGAACCTATCGTAAGATGGCTGCCTTGATAAGTACCGAGAAAACGGGCTAACGAAGTTTTGTCCTTAATCATAGACGAAAGCGAAACGAAAACGAAAACAAAAACCAGCCGGTCTTCATATCACTACATCACTTTATGATCCTTCCGTGACTCGCATTCCTAACACTTCCACGATCCATCGGAGCTAATCCCTATTTGTAGCAGAACTTCAACTTAAAACCATTCAAACCACACCCATCAAGGCTGCGTCTCCATGTTCCCATCCAGGTTCTAGCAGAGAGCACCGTGTATGCGCGTTTGCCCGTGTACTGTGAAAACGGTATGCAACGTCCTACGCTGCCAGCGCCTTACGCCATTGATAACGCTGACGTCTCATGCTGTTGATAACGCTGGCGAATCACGCTATCGATAACGCCGGCGTCTCACGCTGTCGAAACTCCGGCGTCTTACGCTGTTGCTAACGCTGGCGTCTCACGCTATCGGCAACGTCGGCATATCACGCTGTCGATAACGTCAACGTATCACACTGTTGATAACGTCGGCGTATCACGCTATCGACAACGTCGGCGTATCACGCTGTCGATAACGCCGGTGCTTCACGCTGTCGAAATTCCAGCGTCTCACGCTGTTGACAACGCTGGCGTCTCACGCTATCGACAACTTCGGCGTATCACGCCGTCGATAGCGTCGGCGTATCACGTTGTCGATAACGTCGGCGTCTCACGCTGTTGATAACGCTGGCGTCTCACGCTATCGACGTCGGCGTATCACGCTGTCGATAACGTCGGCGTATCACGTTGTCGAGAACGTCGGCGTATCACGCTGTCGATAAAGTCGGCGTCTCACGCTGTCAGTAACATCGGCGTCTCACGCTGTCCATAACGTCTGCGTAGCGCGCTGTCGACAGTGTCGGCGTCTCCCGCTGTCGATAACACCGGCGTCTCGCCGCAGGTGACCACGTGACTCCGGTCCACAAATGCTGGACGCCGCGGGGCACAGTCGGCATGTGTCAGACGGTGAAGCAGTGCAGTCGGACCGCCAGCTTCACATACGTGCTGCGCTCGATACGAACGCGGCTCTGCTACTGGCGAAGCGGACAGCCCTTCATCTGCTGCCCCGCACCCGGTTCGTGAGCAGGGTGGAGTGTTTTACGGCGTGCCTGCTTCCTGGGGGATCACGCCTGACGATGAACCCTTGTGCGCACAGCCCCTGGCAAGGAAACCGCTCTGGTTCAGAGCCACTCGGACTTGCCGGTTCTTCTCGAATCTTTGTGTGGGCTGACCTTCTGCATCAGAGTAGCTTTTTGTCGATGCCAACGATTTCATTTCGACCGCTCAGGTGTTGCATGAGGTCCAAATACATCTTGCCCTCACCTGACAGTCTGGCCGTCCCCTGGAAGTCTGACCGTCCGCTAGTAGCCTGAACGTGACCTGACAGGCCTGTCCTCCCCTGACGGCCGCCTCTCTGCGCCTGCCTGCCGCAGCGGGCGCCACAACCTCCGGCAGAGATTTCTGGCCGACCTTCTCCAGTGGCAGGCAGTCAGAACGAATGCCAACCGTCGCGCCCCTGCCGCCCCTGCCCGCTAGCCCGGAGCCGTCCGTGCCGGAGCAGGAGGGCGGGGAGGGTACCCATGAAGGAGACGATGGACCAGATGCCGACGGTGAAGCCATTTCCGATGGAGCGTGAGGAGCGTGTCACCAAGAGGCCGAGGGCGAGGACCACGCGCCCACCGAGTCAGAGTCACGTGGATAACAGTGAGTGAACCTGTGATACGAAGGAAGGGTCGTGCACCACCTCGCAGAAACACGTCGCGCATTGGTATAAGCCATAGCCGAAGGGTTGTCGCTTGTATCTCCCGGCTTATTTTGCTGGTCAAACGATGTGTGCCTAACCGCGTTTTCCCAGTTAGACTTACGCGCGTTCCCTAAGGCGGCCGGTGAGCAATGCTGGCCCGAAAATATGCATCATACTGAGCAGACGGGACGAAAGACTTTTAAATGAAGCATCTGAGGTGCGGTGGTGTCCGAGCTGGGCGTGTCTACTGCCGTATGTGACCCGTCCCGACCCACCCACGGGAGGCGACGCACCCCACTTGTGGCGTCGGGCCGTGATATCGAGCCGGGCCATCGCTCTAACGCTTCATCGCGTTCCTGCGACAAGTCCTCGCGGGCAATGGCGGCACTGAAAGACGGTCGAGCTGAAAGGATTGTGACTCTGGCCCTTTCCCGCCCCGCCCGGCCCCGACGAGCCGCCAACTGGCCCTGTCCCGCGCCGCCCCGCCCTGTCCCGCGCCACCCAGCCCTGTCCCCGCGCCGCCCGGTCCCTGCCCCGCGCCACCCACCTGTCCCACCCCGCCCAGCCCTGACGAGCCGCTAGCTGGCCCTTGTCCCCGCCCCACCTAGCCCTGATGAAGCTGCCAGCTTGGCCCTGTCCCGTCTCGCCCAGCCCTGACGAGCCGCCCAGCTGGCCCCTGTCCCCGCCCCGCCCAGCCCTGACGAGTCGTCAGCTGGCCCTGTCCCACCCCGCCCAGCCCTGACGAGTCGTCAGCTGGCCCTGTCCCGCCCCCGCCCAGCCCTGACGAGTCGTCAGCTGGCCCTGTCCCGCCCCACCCAGCCCAGACGAGTCGCCAGCTAGCCCTTGTCCCGCCCCGCCCCGCTCTGTCCCTCCCCGCCCAGCCCTGACGAGTTGCCGGACGGCCGGCAGTCTGCGGCCGATCCGATACGGTGGTGGTGGCCGATCCGTCTGCGGCTGACATTCTGCGGCACCTCCACCCGGACGTCGACCCCTTGTTCTCCGTGGCCGGCGGCGCCTTTGGCAGGAGGCTCGCGTCGCCGGGGGCTCCACCAGCGTCAGCGGCCGCTGGCCCTGGATGGTGAGTGCTGGCCGCACAGCTTGGCCAGAAGCGGGCAGCAGCCTGTCCCTCCACGTGTCCTGACCGGCGTGAGCGTGCTCTGGTGTCACTGCGCTTGGTGGAGACCTGCTGGCCATCTCTGCTGGGTGGTCGTGGTGACTTTGCGCTCGAACTACGCAGGATGGAGAGACTGACATTTGCGCTATGCTTCGCCACTTGATAAGACGGCCGCAGGCCGAGAAGCTATTGAATACTGAAAGCCGCGGCGTCCCCCGCGTCCAGCCCGTTTGCAGCGCCACCTTGGCCGCGACCGAGGCCCATCTGCTTCGACGCCCCGCGGGATTTTGGCTCGCATGTATTGCACAAAAATAAATACGTATGGGTGAGAAGGTCTCACTGAACCAGTTGAGACCTCAATGACCTCAAAGGTTTCAAGTCAAACTGATGTTGAGGTTACTAGAGTTCACTAAAGAGCAAGGTGCGTCCGTTGAAATACAAAGATTAAAGGTTTAAAGCATACGAAATCGAATTTCATTAACCAATTTAAACAACACTATTTTTGGAAGTTCACTCATACCCCTTTAAACTTTCAATCACGGGTCAGATCAGATGACGTTAACCTGCTCACTACGGCACATACACAGCTCCAGCATTTCCCTTTTGTCCCCTGCTTGTGAACGCGTTTTTTAACGGCCAAATAACCAATGTCATTTATTTATCGAAAATCCCTAAACACACCAATTGTACTATGGCGGCCTATCTTTCACTCAAGCTTTAGCAAAATTGATTCAGACCGAAAGGGTTACCAGCCTTTTAACATTTTTCCACGCCTTTTCCGGGTGGACCTCTGTGGGTCGCTTTGGGTCAGTGACCTGGTATGACCTGGAATGATAGGTTCGACAGAGGGTGTTAAAAAACAAGGAACGGGTAAGCGAAATGTCAGTCCTCTGTGCTTTGAGATGTTTTGTTTACCGGTGAAAAACTGGAGGGGTCTTGAAATGCCTCCATCGGCCCGGCGCGGTGATACATACGGTTTAGATGGTTTCAGTCCTTGTAAGCTGTTTGTGTGGTCGCACTTCTGTGATGAACTGCTCCAAAAGACTGATGCTGTTTTCCAATCTAAAGAGCAGTCTTGTCCCTTACCCCAGGCCGTGATCGGGAAGGCCAACGGCTCAGATATCACCTGGCTCTGCGGCGGCAGCATAATCGATGAGTACCACGTCATCACAGCGGCGCACTGCGTGCAAGGCAGGTCAGTACCACGTGACCACTCAGTCCGCCGCCGCAGCCGTGTCTCAGAAACCGGTCGGTTGTCGAAGCTGGTAAGCCCGGGAGTGGAAAACCCGCCTCCAAGCTCCGAACGGAGCCCTGACGTGGAGTTCCAGCTTGACAAGCTGTGTCCCATCGCCGGGAAAAAAGTGTCGCGTGTAGGGCCACATGCCCTGCGACATGGTCACGAAATGTCACGCATTACACAAAGACTGCGGGAAAGAATTCGATGGCGTGAGGGTGGATTATCTGGTAGAAGCAGATAGCTTCGTCGCACATGCCGGCGGTGATTTTTTGTGCTCATTATTCGTTCAACACCCAGCCGGATTCCTGCGGTAAGTTCTGAACGGGTTTGGAGAATTACACGCGTGTGGGTAGTTGAAAATGCCAGGTTCCAGGGAAATGATGAATAGCACAGACGCCTGTAATCAGCGATGCTGTTTTTTCCCTTTCTGATATCCTTGATTTTGTATGGTAGGCGGGCGACAGCGCAGTTTTGTACAATACACGCTTAAAAGTCCAGCACACCAAATGCCACACTAGAGTGTCGCACTGTCCCGGCCTGCGACCGTGTTTGAAGTGGGCGCAACGCGGAGCAGCGCGAAGGTATTCCAGTATTTAATTATCATACCCGAACTGTGAAAGTTACCAGGGACGTGGAAGCGACATGGCTGTGCCCCGTAAGGAAGTTGCTAACAGGATCCGCCCAAAGCCCGTGGTGCGCACACGGAAAGGCCGCGTCCGCGCCTCCTGTGACGTCGAAGTCCTGGAACTTACCGGTTACCGTTTGTCCACAACTTGGACGGCAGATTCCTGCATTTGTATAAGTTTCGAAGTCGGTTCATTGACGGGTTACTAGCGTATAAAGCCACATAAGGAAGGTTATCACACACTTCGCGTACCTACGGCTTCCCCCCAGCCTTCGCCCTTAGCCTGACAGGGAAAGCCGTCGCTAATAACACCCTAGGCGATGCAGCGGAAAAAATTTTGGTCTGAAAATGTCGGTGCCTGGGCATGATATGCTTTCTAAACCCCAGAGTGTCTTGGATCGGAAGAGCTCATTGCATGCAAGCGGGAGCGTTGCTGGATTTCAAGCCACTGGCGGCCAACGCTACGTCCCAAGCACGCACCGAAGCACAACAACCTTGCTTATGAACCTGGGCCGGCGCAGCTCCCAGCCGAGCTGGAGGCATGAAGCCACGCGAAACAAACGCGTGTTCAAAAGAAGAGTAGGCACTTACGATTTGGCTAAGAATCCAGCTGGGCATTAAACTGAGCAGGACGCAACATGCACGCTGGCACGCCGTTTTCCCTTGTCGCCGTTTCCGCTGCGCGCGGCCGTGGACCTGCCGCCACCAACGCCCCGCCTCTCCCTCCAGGCCGAATGTGGTCCACTTCGGCGACTCCAACATCGCGGCCGACTTCAACAGCGGCGACCAGTCGGAGCGGCGGCGCATCGCCAAGATCACGCTGCACCCGAGGTACCGGCCGCCGCGCGCCTACCACGACCTGGCCGTGGTGACGCTTCGCCGGGCGGTGCAGTTCTCGCGCCGGGTGAGGCCCATCTGCCTGCCGCCGGCCGACCTGCGGCTCCGGCGCGGGCAGACGGCCAAGATCACCGGCCACGGCTACATGGAATTCAGTGAGTCTCCGAATATGTTCGGCGGAAGGCTCGACGAATGGGCTGAACGGTCAGGAGTGCGCAGTCGTGTACTTTGAGCGTTGTCGCGGGCTGTTGTACCGCATCACGCGTGCGCAGCACCCTCCAGTTGATTTATATAGATGCTTCGCGCGTTCATACATTCACAGCCTATTTATAGTCGTTTTCCTACATGTATCACCGCATCGTCCCTTCTAATGAGGATGGATTGTAATGGTGATTCACATCTTGTCATCGCCCATGACCTCGGATCTCGACACTCCATTTGCTACCCTCCGCGAGAGAGCCTGCACGTTCAGACTCTCTGCCACCCTCAGCGTTTCTTCCTCGTGTTCACGTGTCACATGTGTGGCAGACGGCGGCGAGCTGACGCCGCAGCTGCAGGAGGCGCAGATCAAGCTGGTTCGCCGCAAGGTCTGCAACGCCTCGTACGCCCGGCTAGGCGATGCGTTCTTCGACAAGTTCCCGAACGGCATCCTCAGCCACGTGATCTGCGCCGGCCAGGAGAAGGGTGGCGTCGACGCCTGCCAGGTGAGGCCCGGCAGCTGAGGCTGCGTCATCACTGCCACAGATCATAGACAGCAACCGTCGTCATATGCTCTTTTGATCTAAATGCTGCTCAGCGGTCTCTGAAGCCGCCTGAGCGTCCGAGTAATGTAGCCGGATGTCGCCACTGAATGGGATCGTACCTCAGTTCGTCTTTCCAGTCCATCTGTGGCATGTTGCACCACACAGAACTGATCTGCCACTGGCACCATTTCCGTGCGGACAGCAATGAAGGTTTCAGGCTGGTTGACGCGTATGGCGTCCGCCCCAGCGGCCCCCCCCCCCCCCCCCCCCCCCTCTCCTGACCGCACCTTTGCCGTCCCTAGGGCGACTCGGGCGGACCCCTGATGCAGCACGACGACGTCAGCAACACCTACTACCAGATCGGCGTCATCGGCAGCGGCTTCGGCTGCGGCAACCCCGAGTTCCCAGGCCTCTACACCAGTATCAAGCACCACCTCAACTTCATCCGGGCCGTGACCAGGAGTCGAAGCAGCCGACTGTCTGACCTCACGGAGGCGATCGTGCCGCGCCGGTAACGCGTCGCTGGCCGGGACGCCAAGCTCGCCGGTCCGCCTGCCGCGGCAGAGATCCGACCGGGCCACGGATCCATGCGGCAGAGATCCGACCGAGCCACGGACCCGTGCGGCAGAGATCCGACCGAGCCACGGATCCGTGCGGCAGAAATCACTGTGACGGGCCACCAGCTGAACCGAGCCGTCGCGGCCAGCGCAGCCAGCAGTGATCAGCTTGCCACGCTGACGCTGCGAACCGCCGAACAGTGCGGCCAGCTCATGCGCGGCGGCCGTGTGCTCCCAGCTCTCACGAGCTGTCACGCTTGGCGGTGGGTCTGTTGAACGCTCGGCTCGAGCGGAGGCAGTGACAGCGGGACACGTGAGGCCACCGACGTCTGCAGGACAGTTAGAAACAGGTCTGCACTGTCGACCTGGAATGTTTCTAGTGCAGGCAAGCCATCGCGATCTGTAAAGTTGCTTTGCTTGTGGTTTGTCATGTAATTTGCCAAGTCCTCGGATCCCCGCAATGCGTGTTCTTGGGACGCATCATATCCAAAGCCAAACTGTCGATCTCCTGAGCTGAGCTGTTACGCGAGATGAATCCTGCCCCAGCCAAACGGCCTTACGCAAGCCACCGATCTCTGCAGTGTGAGATGAAGAGAAGACTACGTGTTCAACCCAGCCATCCCTACCACCGAGTGCCTGTTGGGACGAGCCTCGCGCTAAGACATGCGTCAGATCTGCTTTTGTTTGTGTTAGATGAATGAGTCTTCAATAAAAAAACATCCATATTTGCAGCGTATCTGTCGGGAACGAACCACATGTCGGCCAAGACACCCTGTAAGGCACATGTCATGAGTCTAGCCCAGCCTGGCCACCAATCCCTGCGGTGCGCCTGCTGCGACCGGACAAGGTGTGCGCAGTCCCACGTCTCCCACTGTCTGGCCTCGAGCCTTCACAGTAGCCGCTGTGTCCAGCACTGACTGCTGTGGGCCCTCAACACCGGCGGGCCACGTCATCCGCTGGCGTGAGTCACGACAGCCGCTGACGGGAGCCGCAGCCGCTGGCTGGAGCCGTACCATCCGCTGGCGGGAGCCACACCAGCCGCTGATGGGAGCCACACCAGCCGCTAGCAGGAGCCACGCCAGTCGCTGGCTGGAGCCATACCAGCCGCTGGTGTGAGTCACACCAGCTGCTGGCGACAGCCACGCCAGCGGAAGGTGCGGGCCGGTCGGCCGTGCGCCGATCGGCATTAACACGTGTTCAAAACAAAACGCGAATGATTCTAAATAGCTGTATATTGCACCTCATGTCGCCAATATTGACGAAAAAATACATAACAATTCCAGTTTTATGAGCATTTCTAACATGACGCAGGCCGCCCCAACAAGTACACAAAGGGCAGTTTGGAACCGGAGGATTATACTGCGGGACATGCTACTGTAATCAGTGATATTGCACTGGCAAATGCGCGGATCGGGTAACGGACGCCACGGATTATGTGTTTCATCAAAAATGGCTTTGTGGTGTGAGGCCACATAAGGCATGGAGCCAATATCGCCACTCCGAGATGTGTACGCAAACCGAGCAACACCTTTGACAAAATACACTATTGTCGCAATAATACCTGTAGAGATTCTTGCAAAACGGTAACATGTGAAGAAAGTAAGACCCAAACGTTAGATCACAGCGATTGAGAACTAACATGGAATAGCAACGCACCCACTTTACAGCGACTATATGTCACGTTCGACCGTCATGCAGCAGCGTTTCTCCACAGCAGATGGATTGCGTCCGGGCGCGGGTCTGCCAATTGTCACATCCTAAACCCGCATCTTAATTACCCCACGCCGACATGCAATCCTTCATGAGCTTATATGCCCCGTCATGCCATACACATGTCATTACTTTACGTCCAGTGGCATGTCAGGCATCTGTGCCCGCCAACACCCCCCCCCCCCCCCCCCCCCTAATTGAATGTGTACTTGGTGAGATGTTAACATGGGGTTAGATGAGACCATCCTCTTTCTAAAGCCGTACCCGATATACTTCGACAGCCGTAGGCCATGCGCGCTGCAGATTTTTGCTGCTTGATCAACACACCAAATGAGCTGTAAATGCCGTTCATGCTTAAGCGCGTGGCACGCGGCTGGCACGGCACGTGGCTCAGGCTCTGCTCACGACCCTCAGGAGCCTCTGCTTAGACGGAAGATGACCTGCTTAAGCCATGACCTGGCCCCCACTCGGGGCCTTCTGCTGCTGACCTGCGCTTCGGAATCATATGTTAACCATGACCACCACAGTGACCTCAGTCACCACAGCCCAGCTGGAAGAGCGATCGGCCGCCCCCGATCCGAGTCAGCATCGGCGGGCGCATTAGTTTAAAGGATCACACCTCACCCCGCAAGCGAGTGGGCCATCTCCACCGACCATGTCCTCCACGTGGAGTGACCAATCCCCTCCACTAACTCCACCGTCGCCAGAAGCCCTGAGTGCATGAGGCAATCAGCTCTGCTCGCAGAGTCGCGCCACTTCGGCCGCGATCTTGTCCAGCTCGGCGGCGGCGCGGGATTGCGGGTATTTGGCGCCAAAGTCGTGCCCCACCTCGCAGCAGGCGGCGAGGTCGCAGTCCAGCGGCACGGAGCCGAGCAGAGGCAGACCGAAGTCAGCCGTGACCTTGGCAGCCGAGCTAGTCGTCGGCGAACAGCCGGTACCGCTCCTGGACCGGGGGACAAGGTCAGACTGGTCCACGGACGTGCGTGCGTGCGTGCGTGCGTGCGTGCGTGCGTGCGGTGTGTATGTGTGTGTGCGTGTGTGAGAGGGGGGGACCATAACACTTCTCGGGTGGGAAGGCTGGTCAGACGGCTGTTCAGGTAGATAAGGCAAACCAGACCGGTGATGTAGTGAAACTGCGAATGGTGGCATGACCAAAGCGTTGTTGAGTGCTGCTGTGACTGGGACGCAGAAACATGCCGCCAGAAGATGCACAAGTACAGCATCTGGTCTGCTGCACCATCACTGCACGGAGAGTGCAGCGTCTGGTCTGCTGCACAATCACTGCACTGAGAGTGCACCGTCTGGTCTGCTGCACCATTACTGCACTGAGAGTGCGCCGTCTGGCCTGCTGCACCATCGCTGCACTGAGAGTATACCGTCTGGTCCGCTGCACCATCGCTGCACTGAGAGTACACCGTTGGTCCGCTGCACCATCGCTGCACTGAGGGTGCAGCGTCTGGTCTGCTGCATCATGACCGCACTGAGAGATACAGCATCTGGCCCACAGCATGTGACCGTGACGCAGTGAGGACGTGTTGCCTACATCTCGTCACGTGGGTGGCCAACGGTGCTGACCCAACAACCACGTGACCCATCCGGCAGCCGGCGCCCGGCGTCCGGACGCTGCGGCCGGCGGCCCGGAAGCCAGCTGGCGCCGCCGCCGGCGCCAGCGCGCCTGCGCGAACAGGCGGCGCGGTTGGGTGCCGCCCGACACAAGCGCGCATGCGATGAGCACCGACCCGATGCGACGGCCAAACTGTCACGTGACGGTGATGAGGGGCGTCGCGCGGGCGGCTGAGCCCGCGCGCTGCCGGTCTGTGCGCCCTGCCGCCAGCGTGCCACGTGCCGAGGTCGGGCTCGCCCCGATGGTTCTATGTATGGCCGTGTTCATCGTCTCAGCTTCCTGGCATTACCGCAGCAGAGGCGAAATGAGGGGAATACCCGGCTGTGTCTGCTCCAGCCATCTCTGCTCTGTCTAGCGGTCTGCTGGATGCACCTTGCTGCGGGTTGAGTCACGTGTGACGTGCTGCAACGCCTCACATTTGACCGTGTTCCTTGGCTTAGCGAGCGTCGATAAAACCGGATACATGATAATTGAAGTATGATAAATTCTCCGAAAGGACCCGCATTGTTGAGAGGACTTCAGTAAACAATATGGAACGAAGTTACAGACGAATGAAGGATTGTCACCCATGTATGTTCACGCACTTGAATATTGAGCGTGGAACATAATGTACGTACAAAGATGGTGTTGCCATGCCATACCATGGTGTTTACCAGCTGTATGTAAATGTGACATGACTTGTGCTGGAAATGTTAAGACCCGAATTGTCGCGGTATTTAACTTCGCTGCTCAAGTTGACGGTAATTACATGATTATGAGCGCACCTTGCACCTCCTGTTCACACATACTGTCGATACGTGTGCGATTTGCCACATAATAACATGAACAAAGCACGCACTTTTCAAACCATGAAAAATTTTCATAATGCATATATATATATATATATATATATATATATATATATATATATATATATATACAATTCCCATCGTAAAGCACCATTTAAGTCAGCAGGACCCAAATATTTTGTTCACGTACAGTAGTACGAGTTAAACTTATCGCAGAGTAGCCAACACATTCGAATGCTGTCCAGTCTGCGCCGTTCTGCACGCTCCGCTGGTATGTCGTCCGTTTACCTGACAGCAGGGGCAGACGAAGTCGGCCATGTTCTCGACGAGTCCCAGTATGTGGAGCCCGACCTTACGGCAGAAGGTGATCTGGCGACGCACCACGCCTGCCGGCACGACCGCGGCCGGTGTGACACACCTCACCGCAGCGCACGCGCACACGCGCACACGCGCACACGCACGCACGCACGCGCGCACGCCCACGCTCGGGAAGCGGGCGCAGGAGCTCGGCTGATGCAGAGGTCGCTCTCGGCTGCTTAACCCACATGCACGCAGGACGAGGACCGACTGCATGGCCAGGATGGCACTGAAGGCAAAATCGAACTTAAATCGGTCCCATTAGGGCACGTGGATGCTTAGATGTCCTTGAGGATTTTATGCGCAATGGATCATTCGATGGTGCAACTGCCCCCCCCCCCCCCCCCGACAGGCAGTCACCGTTATCTGTCTTGTGTCAGCGATTGACAATGCTGCTACGATGCCATTATCCAATCTAAAGAGAAGGAACACGCACCAGTTTAATACCTCAGTTGTCTACCTAGGACTGACATGAATACCGTACGAATAGCGCAGTCCACGACATTCAGAACCGTCTCCTTGCACGTCGTGTGGCAGTTCACCGCCCACTAACCACTAAATACTCTATTACGTCACGGCCGCTTCGGGGTTGTCGCAGTGAAATTATCGTTTTCACACCATTTCAGGCCGCGCTGCATTCCCTGAACTGACTGAGCCCGCTCGGCCGCCTACCGGCAATGCCCATACGTCACGTGGTCACCGGCCCTCTGTGTGTGGACTTGCAGCAGGGGATTTTCCGCCGATTTACTCGGCAGTTTGGTTTACACTCCTAGCCAGTTACAAAGATGCCACTGTCCGTCCCAGATGGATCTGCTACTCCATCCGCGTTCACCCTCCACGTACCCTTCATCCCGTACCCTCGCAACGTCTCGCCATTCCTGGAGGCGGCTTTAAACCGCACGCCGGAATGCTGGTCGCCCTGACGGGGAGTGCCGCCCTCGCTGGGGGTGCCGCCATGACTGGGAGTGCCGCCCTCGTTGGGAGTGCCGCCACGACTGCGAGTGCCGCCCTGACTGGGAGTGCCACCCTGAGGAGTGCCGCCCTGACTGGGAGTGCCGCCTCGCTGGGAGTGCCGCCACGACTGCGAGTGCCGCCCTGACTGGGAGTGCCACCCTGACTGGGAGAGCTGCCCTCGCTGGGAGTGCCGCCCTGACTGGGAGTGCCGCCCTCGCTGGCAGTGCCGCCTGACTGGGAGTGCCGTCCCGGCTGAGAGTGCCGTCACGACTGGGAGTGCCGCCACGGCTGGGAGTGCCGCCCTCGCTGGCAGTGCCGCCATGACTGGGAGTGCCGTCCCGGCTGAGAGCGCCGCCACGACTGGGAGTGCCGTCCCGGCTGAGAGTGCCGCCCTGACCGGGAGTGTCGCCCTCGCTGGGAGTGCCGCCACGACTGCGAGTGCCGCCATGACTGGGAGTGCCGCCCTGACTGGGAGTGCCACCCTGACTGGGGGTGCCGCCCTAGCTGGGAGTGCCAACCTCGCTGGGAGTGCCGTCCCGGCCGAGAGTGCCGCCCTGTCGCCGCACAGCATCCGACTTGTGACCGCCGCACGGAGGAGGCCCTGCTCCCGGTGATTAACGCAGGGGCGACAGTAGCTCCCCGCCGTTCGCCTCGATTAATAGCATCGCCCTGAATCGGCCTCCTCAGGCCAAAAGAGGTCCTCGTCAGAAAGCCCACAACTACCACCGTATCTCCCTGCATGCAAGGTGTAGCAAATCAAGCGAGAGAAAACGCGAACATGATGTTCGAACTAATAGGCACGTGGCGATTTTCAGGCAAACTTCAAGACATGCACGTTGCTTTTTGCCTGATACACGGTTTTCTGACTACGCGTCGCAACGGCGCGGCAGTTTTCCAATCATCTGATCTGGCTCTGGGCGACCACCCGCGCGCGGTGGGGTTCTCACCGCAGGCGAGGTCCTGCGGCGTGGTCACCAGCACCACGCCGTCCGGCCTCGTCTCTCGCAGCAGCTTGGCCAGACTCAGATGCTCGTCACTGGTCCCTGGAACCAGAGACGGCCCGTCGCCTGTCACGGTGGCTCTCGCCTTCCAACGTGTCCAGAGCAGGACTGTGTGAAGCAGTCTGGCAAGAAGGCAGGGTCAGTGAAGATCAGCGATGCAAGCGCATTTGCCAACATTGCGCCGCCCGCGACCAGCATGCAGGAGATGGATGCGTTATACATTCAATACCTGATCGCTGTCTACTGAGTTTTCCCATGCGTTAAGGTGCTGGTAACGTCAGTTGCGGCCAGGGCAGGCCGTGCAGTCACCAGCCGGCGGGCATCACAGGATTATAATTATAACACCTGATTCCTGCGCACGGCATTCAATGGATTCCTGCCTCAGATGTAGCTGATGTGGCATCAGGTTGTGATTGGGGACGTCAGCACGTGCCGCAGATAGCACGTCAGATACCGCGGATGTGGCGTCAGTCTGTGATTGGGGACGTCAGTACGCCCGTGAGCATAACCGTATGCACATGCGCTTCTCTCACATATCTCTGTCAGTCAGTCAGAGGTCAGTGGCAAACCCAAGTTGGTTAAATGACTAAAATAAACCCGAAAAGAGAAAAGAAAACAGGTAAAAAGGGAAAGGCGAAGCTGAAAATGGCTTTGTCAATGGCGAACACCATAAAACGGAGAAAGGAGATTCATACGTACAAAAGGCACCATGAGATACTAGTGAACACCGAACTGAAAGCAGATACAGGCCGGCCCAAAAAAAACGCATTTAAACATATAGCACGAAAACACAAAGGCGCGAAAATCCTTACCAATCACGCGCATCCAAGAAGGATACCAATAAACAAAAGGTCATAGTCGAAATGATGACGATGATCAGAAGAGTCAAAATGCACAAATGCATTGGATGAAGCCAGCTAATGCACCGCTCATGGGAAGGACCAAAACAGACTGGCCCGACAGTGCCAGGACAGCCAGAGTAGGACTGAACTCAACCCCACGGACCGGGCCGGGACTGAATTCGAATGGACTTGATGAGACCCGATCGGAGCGAGCCCAGCTGGACTGAACCTGGCCGGACCGAATGAGCTGGACTGAGCCTAGCTAGATTGGACTGGACTGGACCTAACCGTACTGGATGGAACCCAGCCAGATCTCTCTGGCCGGACAGGACCTCGGGCGACGGGCTGGGCTGGGCGCAGACAGGAAAGGAGAGGACAGGATACTTCTCTAGACTACGAACAGCCAGAATCGCGCCCGACGGGACAGGACAGGTCAGATCTGATCAGACCAACGGGGGAAAACAGGAGCAAGCCGGGCGGGGGACACCGGCAAAGCGGTCAAAACACAGAAGTGCCAGACCGGACCGCATCGGGACGGAATTATCCGGATCGGACCCGGATCGGGCAAGACTTGACTGGCTGAGGCGGAACCAGGTAAAACGGGGATCTAGCGTTACGGACTGCATACCGAAACAGGAAGGCGCAGACAGGACAAGAGAGGACAGCATGGAACGGGCCCGGATGCCTGAATTCAATCGTGCCCTATTTATCACTCCGTAAATAAAATCGGAACATTATAGTAGTTTCCAAAGAGGCCCATTATGAGCTTACCCGAAATGACTAACCCGCTCGCCGGATTTAATTTCGACATACGTGATGACCGCTGGATAGTTTTCCTACTGACTTATCTAGTATTGTGCTCTTTAATCCTTTCTATTCCAAGGATAGTCCATGTTTACTTTTACCCCCGGTGACCTCTTCCATTTTAAATTGTACTCCCGTGCATGCCCAATTCGGATTTTTCGTGCCGGCGTTATTTTCTCTTATCATCCTAAATCCTGCCGGCCTACATCCCTCTTGACTTCTCCGTTCCCCCTCAGCTTCCGGGCACCGCTTCGTTGCCATCATGGTGTTGGCTGCATGGCTACATCGCACTGGTCCTCTCCAACCCCTCCGAACCAGGAGCGGCCGCTGCTCCAAGGACGCACTTAGGCCGGTGTGGCCAGTAGCGCGATGGAAGGGGTCCGCTCTGAGGACGACACGGGTGCTTCCTTCATTCATTCTGCCACGCAGCCCTATGAGCTAAATGTTTGTCCTTTCAAAATGGCAAGAGCAGCAATCCCCGCCCCCCCCCCCCCCCCCCCGTCTGGTGGGGACCGCACGCCCGGGCGTCGCCCCCAGTCTCCTCACCGGGAGGGGTGTCGCCCCCCCCCCCCCCCGGCCGGGGGGGACCGCACGCCGGGGCGTCGCCCCCGGCCTCCTCACCGGGAGGGGTGTCGCCCCCCCCCCCCCCCGTCCGGTGGGGACCGCACGCCCGGGCGTCGCCCCCGGTCTCCTCACCGGGAGGGGTGTCGATGACCAGGTAGCTCAGCCGTCCCCAGAGCGTGTCGGCCAGCATGGAGCGGATCAGGTGCGTCTTGCGCGGCCCGCGGAGCGCCACCGACGACTCGTCGGACGGCAGCATCGAGCCCACTGAGAGCACCCGCACGCCGCCCAGGCTGGAGCTGCGCGACGGACAGCCGCCGTCAGCGCCGGTACGGCGACGACATTGGCACACGCGCCACGCCTGCCTCACTTCATTATTGAATACAGTTCAATGTCGTTGCTGCTGATTTGCGTCGATGCAAGTTGATTTTCTCGAAATGTTGGCATTCACACCGCATCTGCAGGACCTGCTAGCAGCTTTGACAAAATCAGATTGAGCTTCGCAGGTCATATAGTTACGCAAATTTTAAAGACCATACTCATTTTAATTAGGCAAAATCATCAGTCGACATCAGCATGATGACGAAACACGCTATATGCCTTGCCTGCGTCAATAATATTGCTGTATTTTCACTCGGAATGGTGAAAGCATGTTGACATCCTTCGTGATACGAGGACATAAATAACGCTAAACAAGACCAAATATCTTACCCTTGAGCGGGTTTGCTCCCTAGCATAGCATGCTTCCATTGGCCTCTCATCTTGTCTGATACACCAGTGAACATGCCTACTCAGTCTATTTTCTGATTGTTTCTTAGCGCAGTGGTAATCCCTTTAGCACGCGATACACGTTCAAACACATCAACAAGTTCATGGCTACATGAATTCGAACTTTATCAAGCAGTATAACTGTTATCACAGTGCAGAACCACAGCATGAATGATGGATGCGCGACCATTGTCCATCGCCACAGCTGTGGCAATGGCCAATGGTCGCACGGCCGCCTCTGGCCTCCAGAAAACACGCGCGGTCACGCCGCCTCCGGCCTCAAGCAAACTCACACATCTTAACCGCCATGACTCGGACAGACAAATTATTCCCTGCAGACACCTCCAGCATCAGGTCAGACTCACATGGACGGCCTACAGTCCCCCGGCAGACTCATATGGCCGGCCTCCAGCCCCGGCAGACCCACATGGGCGACCTCCAGCCCCAAGCAAACCCATCACATGGGCGTCCTCCGGCCCCGGCGGACTCACATGGACGGCCTCCGGTCCCAGGCGGACCCACATGGACAGCCTCCGGTCCCAGGCGGACCCGCATGGACAGCCTCCGGTCGCAGGCGGACTTACATGGGACGCCTCCAGCCGCAGAGACTCACATGGGCGGTTTCCAGCCCCAGGGCGTGCTGATGATGTCGGCGCCATCGACGGCCAGCAGGCGCGGCAGGCTGGGGCCGCAGATGTCCGTGTCGAGCGCAGCGACCGGGCCGCGCCGAGACAGCCGCACCACCAGGCTCGCCGCCAGCGTCGACTTGCCTGGGGGAACAGTCAGGCCGGTGGGGACGCGCGGCTCTCACGGGAGACGCCACCCGTGGGGAGTTGGCCTGCCAGGGGCTTCGATGTCACAGTCGCCAGCACCGGTCACATCCGGCAGGGCCTAGCTTCGGTGGCGGTCTGGAGAAAACAAGCAACTAAGTAGACATTTGTTCACAAAAGGATTGTGCGTTAACGTATTGCTTGGGGGCTCAAATCGCGAGTCAGTCTGACTCGTCAATTAGCCGCACGACACTGGTGTCGTGCGGCCAATTGACACTGTTACGTGCGACACTGGTGTTGCATCTACCGTCCGATGCGACTTAACTGGATCGCATTAAGTAAACCCATGCAAAACATAAAGACAGCGCTTTTTCGATCATAATTGTGCTGGCATATACAAATGCATGGTGCAGGGCTATAGCATAAGCGGAACCAGCTAGCATCAGTGCCCACAGCCCGCCTTTACATGATGGTTACGTGGGGTACAGATTAGTGCCATCACGAGACTCGGCGAAACACGCCCCCGACTTCGCCGTTTAAAGACCGCGTTAAGTGTGTGGTGGTACCAGCGCGTTCAAACAGATGTTCTTGGTGTGCTGGGAAATGTTTGCTGGAAAATGTTTCATCGCAGTATACTATTCAAGCTGCACTTACCCACTCCTCCTTTGCCGGACATGACAAGAATTTTGTGTTTTATAGCCTTCATTCGAATGTTGAGGGCTGTTTGCTTGGGGTCTGGACCACCTGTGAAATTATACATGTGGTCAGCATCTGTTGTTACGTAACGAAAATCACACACACACACACACGTACACGCACACGCGCACACACACACACACACACAAGCACACGCACACGCACACGCACACGCGCACGCGCACGCGCACGCGCACGCATATATATATATATATATATATATATATATATATATATATATATATATATATATATACATATATATATATATATATATATATATACATATATATATATATATATATATATATATATATATATATATATATATATATAAAGTAACCATGTTGATCCATGGCATCAACAAGCAATAAGAAAATGACACGGGAAAACATTCAGTTGTTACCTTGTGCCTGACAGAGAGCTTGACCAGGGCAGCCTTGGCATCCCAATGCTCGACCCGCCTCCTCCTGAAGACAAAAAATCCTGTTTCACTTCTGTGGAATGCTGCACCACGCTACGCGTTCAGCACCCTCTTCAAGCAGACGTCAGTGAAAATAGTATCTTAATGATGACAACTTCCTTGTTAAATTACAGCCAGATGCTTAACTTTCCCTGGCTAAAGTAACAGTCAAATGAACCTAAAACAAATAATTTTTCAACATTCCTGGACATCCTCCCCACTAGTTTCACCTTAATAAAAACCTTGATGCTAAACTTTCACGACCACTTAGCAATTCTACCAGCATGTGCTCTGAAAGCAATTCTACCACACATGTACAATGAGTGCACAGCACCAGTTAATGGAATTGCACCACAGAATGAGCTGAACGATCCAGGGTCAAGACCATGAAACTCATTTAAGTGCACATGTGACATCCCTCATCGCTTGATCCGACCCTGGCAGCGTGCCAAATGTGTTTAAGTGCCCGCATGACATCGCAGTACACTGGCGCCCAACTTGCGAATGCCTGCAGCCGCGTACTGTTTGGGCTGGTGTGGAGGCTGGGTGAGAGGAGCGACGAGGTCGGCACTCATTGGCAGGCGTGGCTTTAGTATTCATGGCATTTCATGGGTTTCATGTGATTTGGCTGGGGTCCTGATGGTGTGATGCTTAGTGCACAGGGGGCGGGGAGCTGTATTGTTCTGTGCCCTAGTATGGGATGTAAAATATCCACACCTTGAACTGGACTGCCAGTGAATGGTGGCTTGCTGGGCCATGCCAGCCAGCACTGCATGGGAGTTAACTTCCTGACAATAGGAGTTTTCTTCCTGACACAACAGCAGTGAGAGCTATCACTGTCATAAGTGTATATCAGACAAGCTGACCAGGATGAAATGACACAGTTGGGAACATGCAGAGCCTCCATGTGAGAGACCTGGGTTGGATTCCCTGCATACCCTACAGCCTCTGCAGGCACTGATATGACAGAGGTCAGTGAGAACTCTAGAGGCCAATACTGCAACCTCACAGACCAAGCCCAAAAACTCCTCAGCCACCCCCATTATCTGAGCAGGCACAGGAGACTATCACCCTATAAACAAGGCCACCAGTGTTAACAATGATAAACAAATAGTAATAGGTATTAGTTATGAGGATGGGCAAACAAAGGCACAAGATTCACATAAGTTGCATTCCAAGCTGGTGCACTGATGGAATAAAATGACTCAAAAGAATATTCACTGCACAGGATAGTACCTCTCTTCAAGTGAGGCAAGAGAAGTTGGTGTGCCTTGTGAAGGATTGAACAGACAATATTTTGGATCACTTATCTGAAAAATCAGCTGCAAGTGTGAGCAATTTCAAGACAGAGAATAACACTGTGGGGAGCAACATGGTGCACCTGGTGGAAAACACTTGGGGAAACCAGCCCAATCACCAATCATTCTATCAACAAGAACAATAATAAATATGATACAAGCTGTTCAGGACTATCCAACATTGGTTAGAGAGTCAGTCTATTGGATAGCCCAATTTTAAAATAGAAGTGCACCTCACTTATTGATGTTTCAGCCTTTTCAGAAAACATGGTCTTGACTATATGGTTTTTGTTGCTACTTGGTGACTCAAATACACAATGAAATTAATGACTCCACACCTCACTAAACTTAGTGACTCACAAAACAAATGCAACCTTGTTAAACAGCCATACATCATATACTGTATGAGCACCTGAACCTTATGGCATAATGTTAATCAGCTTGAGGGTGATCACATGCCATGCCACTTGGGGCATTGTGTCAGTAATGGTGGCCAACAACAGGAGTTCATTTATTGCCAAGTTAATAGTTTAGTACCATAACCCCTTAAGTTTTTTCATCATTGCTGGTATTGAGTGCTGTAAGGCAGTGGTGAAATTAATATCTGTTGCAAGCTTATAAACTATCCTAGAACCACTTTGGGAGACATTCTTGTTGATTTGCTGCGGACAGGAATCATGAACAGTTGGGTTCACATCGGAACTTCCTTAGCCTGAACTAGATACATGAAACATTCAATAACTGAAAGCTACTTAAAGCTCGATAGATGACCATATAGTGAATGAATTTGTGTACTGGAACAAAATTTGAGAAAAACAAATTGCTGACACGTGACGCGGGGAATGAATGCCTTCACATCTCACCAAAGCATTTGGGCATCTTGTGATATCTTCATCCATCCCTGTCAACTAAAATTATCTTTTCACTTGTAGAGAAGTTTACACCTTCAAAACCATAAGCCATAGATGAGAGGAACGTTCCGTTCAAGACATTGCCGTCCTCCAAAATTCCACACTCCACATTCCATTCCTTTTACAACTTCCACAAGTGTCCCTACAGCGCCGTATACGCTTTAATAATCGGAGGAAGTTCCCAGGTGTATTCGCTAATGGCGATCGAAAGCTTGCAAAACTGTGAAATGTGTGTCTTTTGACGAATGAAAACAACAACAATGACGTCATTACACTGCAGTTGGCCCTCAGAGCAAGTCAGTGTTCGAGGTAGCGGGCATAGTGTCGTGAACTGATCATAGCTACGAGACTTGCGCACCTGTTTCCAATGCGGGTGCTTGGCACGCAGCACACAGTGCAGTGTATCGGAGGATGGCCCCGTCTGAAATTCAGGGATTAGTGGGCGGCAATTTTGTTCGCATTGCACGATGGGCTGGTGTTTTTTGTTGATCTGTGGCATCAAAATGGTGAATGACGTTGGCTTACAAGGTCATTTATAAAAATATTGCTTTCTGGGCTCTTGAGAAAGCATAAGAAAACAATATTTTAACCACTCGTCCCCTTCCATCGCGATTTGCCTGACCATTACGGTTGCATTGCCACAAAATGAATCGCATGACCATCAATTGAAATTCCTCTTTTCAGGCTGCTTGTGAGGGGTAAACAAGACCATGCCACAAGTAGATAAAGATGGCTTTATTCTTGTCAGGCACAAGAATTCGCGTGGTCCGCCAGCATCCCTTATAACCAAGGGTGTGGCGCCACCAACTGACCTGAAGCCGGATGTCATTAATGTCCCAGCTGTCATCAAGTATGTCATACATGGTCTGAGGCATGCTTATGCTCATGCATGGGAACATATGCTTGAACTGTTTCAGCAGTAGATGAAAAATGAAGCTATGTCATATATCATGATTAGCTTGTTTTGAAATGTTCATGAAACAGGTCAACAACTTATACCACTGTGGGTGTTTAGTATATCTTATTCTATACCATACTTTAATAGTTAGCATGATGAATCAATGGAGACAAGCTATCAAGACAACTGATTTGATAACAGCCAGCATGAACTTGCATGACCTTGCTCACTTTTGTTTGGTATATGATAACCATAACATACTGTATAATTGTGTGTGTGTGTGTGTGTGTGCGCTTGTGCATGTGCATAGACATAACTAGTCTTGAATGTTACTTAAGTTCATTTCAGGTTTAGTACCGTTTTATGCATTCATCAATTTCATAATAACAGCTTGCACTCCACCTATTGATTAACCCTCCACCTGATTGGGGGCTTGAAGCACCCTCATAAGGTGTGTTGAGGATGCCTCTGGCATGTTGTGCAATCATGTCTAAATTTTCAGTGACTATGGGGCATCCACTGTGTGTGTGTCTTGATGTCAAAATGTGCTTGTGGCTGTTCTAATTTGGAGCAGCCACAATTCTTTGAGGAACACTGCATGATAATTTACGGCCTTGGTGGGCGGGCGGACCATGTCGCGCGCGAGGTTGGCCGACATCACTGCATGAACAAAACGAGATCTGGGGTGTAGTTACTGTTCAGTTGGACAGACATAAGCCCCCCCCCCCCCCCAACTTGGGTGTCAGTGCTCACCCCAGCTGTGGGAAGACAGTGTCAGAATCCGGTGAGAAGTCTGCTTGTTGGCATTTTTCGGCGGCAGGTTAGGTCATTTTTCACTGTTGAGCCCCGCGACTCGTTTTCGGAATCACGTTGCCGAGCCATGATTGATACATGTATGTATATGTATTGATACATATACATATACTGGAAAGTGCGATCGTTTGGAAAATTTGAACTGTGACCTGGCATAATTGGGTCAATTATTGGCCTGAAACCTCAAAACTAGCACAAATCGCGAGATTTCCTTGAGATTAATCTGCTGGTGTTTTCTACCAAACTCTATCTTCATTACTTTGGAAACGCAAGCGGAGGGCATCTACATCTCACCAGCGGCACCTTTCCCCAGGAAAATTGAGCGTCTGCGCGTGAGGCTCACCTCGTCCCGCTACCTGCCACGCTTCCTGGCCGCCGTCGACGACTGCCTGTCCGAGCAGCGCGCCGGCCAGAGCGCCGTCGCCGCGCCCAACATCGTCTGCTACGGCTTGGGACACGTGGCCAGCGCGCCGGCGCCCCAGTACCAGCTGGCACTGCTGCTGGAGCTGCGCGCGCACCTGAGCGCACCGCGGGTCGAGGCGTACGACCCGGTCTTCTGGCCGGAGGAGGCGGCGCTGCTGAGCCGACTGGGATTGCACGTGCTGGAACAGGACGAACAGTGCGGCCGCCGGCTGACGGAGCCCACCGTCCTCTACATGCCCCACTGTGAGAACGTCCACTACAACAACCTGCTGCGCGCCAACTGGCATCCGGACGTGCTGCCGCGCTGCCTGCTGATCGGCAACAGCCTGGCCTCGATCGCGCTCAAGCTGCCGCCCAGCCTGCTGCGCGAGTTCGCGTTCGTGGAGCGCGGCGCGGCGCACGCGGCCGAGCGCGGGGTCGGTGAGCGCATCGACGAGCCTGAGTTGCTGGCGCCCTTCAACGACACGGCTGTGCACTGGTTCAGCGCGGCGCGGCTGCGCGCGCTGCCGGCCTACTTCTGGGACGAGGCGCCGACGCAGTACGAGCCGCCAGAGCCGCAAACCGACTCCTCCGACGATGGCGGTCGCGCCAAGCCGCGCCGCCGCCGCCGCAAGAAGTCGCGCAACCACAACTGAGCCGCGTAGGTCTGGCGGCCGACGCCGTGCGGCGGTGGTGGCTGCCGTGTTGGCAGCGCTGGCGGCCGGCGTGGCGGCGGTGCGCTACGGCGGCGCCCCTGGCGGCGATCCGGTACTTTGCGACCGCGGTCAGTTCCGTCTGGCAGGCATGGCGGCGTGCCGGCCGCTGCTCGGGTGCGCCGACCTGGCTGAGCTGAGTCTCGGCCCGCTGATCGGTCAGGGCAGCACCAAGAGCGTGTACCGCGCGCTGTGGCGCAGCCGGGAGGTGGCGCTCTCGACGCTGGCTGATCCCCGGCTGCGGCCGGACTTCCTGCATGGTCTGGAGATGCTACAGGCTTTGGGGCCGTCCGACCGCGTGGTCCAGCTGGTCGGCTTCTGTCGCGCCACGGGCGTGATTATCACCGAGCTCCAGCCGCTTGGGGATGCGAGCCGCGTGGCGCGCGAGGTGCGCGCCGCGGCGGGAGCGGCTGGCCCGGCGGCCGCCGCCCTGCTGGCGCTGCGTTACTGCCTCAGCTACGCAGAGGTGCTGGACTACCTGCACAGCTCGCCGGTCGGCCACCGCGTCATGTGCGACACGAACGATCTGCAGAAGACCCTGCAGCAGTTCCTGGTGACGTCAGACCAGCGGCTGGTGGTCAGTGACCTGGACGCACTCCCGGACGCCGCGGCCGGGCCCGTGCTCTGCGGGCGGCGGCCGCTGCAAGGAGAGTTTCTCGCGCCGGAACAGAGATGGCAGGCTGGCGTTAGTCCGCAGGGCTATGACGAAAAGACTGATGTGTGGAAGCTGCCGGCTGTGTGCGGTCATTTTTTAAGGGCGTCTCCTCACGGCGAGTTTGTGGCGCTGCAGCTCCATCGGATGCACAAGAAATGTCGCAGCCCCGAGCCGTCGGCGAGGCCGTCGGCCAAGCAGGTAATCTCGGAGTATGCTCGTGTTATTCGCGACCTGGAGCAGTCTGAGCCCAACTGAACGCGACATTTGGCTCTTCACGAGCCCCGCGGTTGGATTTTCTACGTCATTTTCTCCCTGTGATACTGGGACGATAATTTGGGAATGCACAAGATGATCGCACTGTGTTTTGTGTACCTGACGTGGCTTAAATACATTGCATGCACCTGTCGAGTTTTGGTTATTGATGCTGTGGGTCATAATTATTTTGCCTCTGATCTCTGCCACACCCTTACAACACCCGCGCTGTCTACAGTACATGCCTGAAGTGAATACCTTGCTACCTATGTGGACCGTAAGCGCTTGTACTTTGTTTGCGACGTACAGCGTCTTGATGACACGTTCGTGACCGTGCTACTGGAACACGTATGCCCCTAACATGACAGACTATTAACACGGCAGCGGCTGACGGACGACACCGGCTTCCTTCGTCCATGATATGACTAAAGAGCCTCCAAATTTGGTGAAGTACACTTATCGACGAATTTCACACAGCACACATGTAGTTGAATTGTTGCACAACGCGAGAGTTACTGTTTGATGTAATGTTGTTACTGTGCAGTGACTGTTCGTGTGATTTTAGGCCCGTTTCTTTGTGGTAGCCTTACCATTGCTTGTTCATGTTTTGCGCTTGAAACAGATTGGCCGTGAACCAGGGTTTTAGTCGCCTCCTCTTCTGGGATGATTCGTCTTTCACGCATTCTATCGATTTGCAAAGCCGCTCACATTTTGTCTTGATAAACTAGAAACTTATCGATCGTGCTAAGTTTCTAGCCTAGAAGGAAGTAAGCTAATTATAGAGTTCATTATAGTCAAATCCGTTCACATTTTCTCTTGCATTCCTCCAACGATGGGGTATGAATTTGAAACGTGATCATAGACGCTCTGTGACGAAATATCCAACAATGTTGGATATGAACTATGGCGGGAAAACAACGGTACGAGGTCTAGAACGATGCGTAAAACATATGAAAGGAAATGGTTTGCCAATATCATAATACACACACACGCACGCACGCACGCACGCACGTACGCATATAAGTGTATATACATATATATATATATATATATATATATATATATATATATATATATATATCTATATATATCTATATATATATATATATATATATATATATATGTCCGCCCCGGACCTGAATTGACCCCCGTTGGCAAGTTGTCAGCTGACCTTTCTATTCCAGTCAGGCCAAACAATGCACCTGCTCTGGAACTCGTACCCAGTGCCGCTGGACTACGAGCACTGCATCTTGCCCCTAGGCTACGGGGGCGTTGAAAAAGGTCTAGTTTGATTTAAAACGCTCGCTGATTCCGCATTGGCGAGCTGTTTGATGCATCCTTGGAGGCTCCGGGCTTTTGATTTAGCAGCACTAAAGATGAAAGACAAAAAGATGAAGATGAAAGATGTTCGTGCAAAGTCGCCCAAAATCGAATCAGCCATATATTCATCGATTTGTATATTCTACCGTTTCGACACCTTTGTCATCGTCCGAAAAATGCAAATGGCACAAGCAAGAAGCTTTGAATTTTTAAGGATGAGAAGTGTGCATGATTACCATAAAACATCGTTGAGTACAGATTTAGTAGATATTTAGGACTGATTCGGTGGCGGGCGGTAGGTATTGTAAATATGATTATGACGATGTGTCTGTATTGTTTTCATTTAGGTCGCATTTTATACGCATACAAATAACGATAGGAACATTGGTCTTCTGGTCTTTAGTACTAAACGATATTTTATGACAGCGATGTGCACTTCTCATTAAAAATATCAAATTAAAAGGTACTGATCGACAAACATTTGGGTCATTTTGCACGAGCGATCTTTTGTCTTAACGATACTAGTAAGTCGAAAGCCTGTAACCTGGAACGATGCGTAAAAAAGCTTGACAGGGCGGAACCAATGATCGTTTTTAATCAAACACGCGCGCGCGCGCGCGCACGCACGCACACACGCACGCACGCACGCACGCACGCCGCACGCACGCACGCATGCACGCACGCACTCACACACACGCGCACACATACACACACGTATATATATAATATATATATAGTATATATATATATAATAATATATATATCTCTCTCTCTCTCTCTCTCATCCTCCTCGCTCTCTCTCTCATCTCTCTCTCTCTATCTCTCTTCTCTCCTCTTCTCTCTCTCTCTCTCATCCCTCTCTCTCTCTCTCTCTCTCTCTCTCTCTCTCTCTCTCTCTTATTTTTAGATGTCAAAGATGCACTGAGGAGTGGAAAAAGTGAGAGGAAAATGACACTGTCGTATAACGGATACGTTTCAAGAGCTAGTTCTCTGAAAACAGGGATTCCCACAGCCATGCTTTGCAAGATTTTCATAGCCCTCTCTGTCTCAGGAGACCGGAAAGATTGCAAATACATGTCGCTCAGTTCAGTCCCTTTCAAAGAGGTGAAAGAAAAGCTTCCGCGTATGGAGATCGACTTGATGAACACTGGAAGTCTTGTGTCGAAACACGGTGTATCCAAATCGGGTACGACAGAAGAATGCACGCCAGCCAGTATTCTCCGCATCTGATAACGCCCTGTTGCAATGTGTTGGGCTCGTCCAAAACATGTTGAATTAATGGGCGGACACAAGAGCGCCGGTCTGCGTCAATGGTCGAGGGTGGGCGCATAGTCTGGCGAAATAAGGTATGGGATAAGGGAGGAAAATGACCACCTAGCACCAAAATTGACCAAAAGTGTACCTCCCTTGGTCGACCCGCGTTCTTTTCAGGGTCGAGGGGCTGGAGTCTCAACGCCAAAGGGAACCACACCCCTGACTCTGGTGTACTCGAGGGCCGGGCAGCCTGAACTGTCCTAAAAGGTAAGGTTTCGAATGGCTGTAGCCCATTTTATTTAAGCGAATGCAGTATTATTGTCTTGATTCGTGTTTATTAAACAGAATCAGTTATTGGGACGGCATAAGTCAGTCATAACAAAACGCCCCGGAAAGGAAGACTGTAGGTCATATTTAAGCTTTTCCTCGATTTTATAGTGCTCCAGAAAAATGTATTGGGGGGCCGAACCAACATTTGGGAACCAAGTGCATGCGGAGCGAGGATTCTCACTGTATAATGCAAACCGACACCCCTGGACAGACGTGGTAGCATCAACAGAATAGCCGAATAAAGCTCACCGCCATGTTCGCCTTGCATCTTTACGACAGGCATTGTCCTCCCTTATACCTCTGTGCGACATTGGAACATTATAATTGTATGTGCGCAAGATGCCGACAGTCAGATAAGAATGCTATCATCGTCGAATAACTGGATTTCTATCACTATTTCTGCTGTACGAGCTTCCGGCCGTTCGCGCAACTCAGACATCACCTGAATGTGATCTTACCTGATGCGGTAGATTCACTAAAGTCAGAAATCGATGGATTTTGGTCGGGAAACCGTGCATGCATGCATATATACATTCACCATGATTTTTCGTGACACTTCTCTTAAGTCGTCCCGGGATTCGCCTCGGGGTTACACAGGAAGCTGTAATATTGCGACTCTTTCAACTGATTTACGAAACGGCGTCTTACAGACAGAGCAGAACACCGACAAAGACGGCAGAACGCTAGCTCAACCGGTGTTGTAGGCAGTCGCAAAAAATACATCATGGAGGACATTCGCATGAAAATGTGAGAAGATCCTCACACAGAAGATCCTCACCTACTCACATCATGTTCATCAGGTCGTGTTGGCTCTTCAGAGTGATTGCCACGTGCACTTCATGGGTTGGTGACATGCCAGTATTTAACCTTTCCGCTCGCATAGCTGTCGTGGGCAGGCGCACTGTCCTGTGGCAGGCACCGGGTGCAGATCGTGACGTCACGGACCACGTGCTGAGCGGCACGGCCGCGTCATCGGCAGCATGGGCGCTGGCCCGTGGAAGTCTGTCTGCTACCTGTTTTACGGTTGCGTCAGTTACATGCGATTTAACATGAGAAGTTCTCACGATGCAAAATGTCACCTGCTCTTCTGTTCTTTACCCTGATCATGACTGCATCTGCTGAGCGTCCTGAGCGTCCGAGCGATACACGTCCTATGCTTCGCCAAAGTAACCGTAATATGAAAGTGTTGTCAAAGCACCCTCAACTTGAAACCATACCACAAAATACGCCACAGTGGTTCCACGGGTAAAACTCAGACCGTCACACTTTGTATATGTATTATGGCACCGATTACGAAACACAAGCATGCAGTAACACAACGGACGCTGAATGGGGATGTCATAACAAATATTTATAAACTGACTCGATGAGCGTTGCCGGGGCTGGACCGTCTATGCCTGGCCGTCCTGTCCCTGGCCAGCGGCCCTGCACGCTCGCCGGTCATCGGTTGACGAAAACAGCACCAGTCCCTCGGAGGGACACGGACTCTGCCCATTGCATACGGCCATCACTAAACGCCGGCCGCCCACTCGCAGCTTGGTAACTCCGGCGGCGCCATCTCGCCCACCATGCCCACACTCCCGACCCCGGTCTCGGCTTGGCTTTTCTGGCGGCGGCCAGCGCGCGCGGCCGAAAATCGCCACCTGGGCCGAGATCCCAACTAACGGCGAGACCCGCGGCGGTGACTGACCAGCCAAGCCTGACGCCGGCCGAGTGAGGAGAGAACACGTGTCACCGGACGGTACAGCGGGGCCGAGGTGTTGACAGGCGCGCGGCACCAGGCTCGCGCGCTGCTGGCCGACGCCGGACCGCGGCACGGTGGGAGGCCGGTTCTGAGCTTCCATAAGCGGGACTATTTCGTCACAGCCTTTCCCTACCCGGCGCAAACTCAACCTGCCGCTCTACAGACGCGCGCCGCTGCTGCCCGCCGATAGCCACCGCAACCCGCAGCACCCCCGTGACAAGAACACAACAAAACGTCACGTGCTGTCGCCCCACGCCGCGTGCCGGGCAGCGGCAGTTCGGCAGCCGGCCCGGGGTCTTGGCGCCAGCCGGAAGCCGTCCGGCACCGCGGCAGAGAGGTGCCACTCCATGCCCGC